AGTGTCAATAACTTGGAGCTGATCAGGAGGAGAGGAATTCACTGCCTCTGACGGAGTACTTTGCTTTTTTGGGTGTAGATAGTGATATTGAGAATTGGAGTGACCGAACATCCGACAGTTCAAACAATACGAAAGAAAATACAATAAATACATTTTGACAATATCCATGGTGTTGTATGCCCAACCCAAATTTCGTCATAAATGATTGAAAAGAAGTCTCTTTCAACAAGTACTCTGGTTTCAAATAAACGGGAAAGATTAAAAGTAGGAATGTCCGTTTTGAGTGACTTACCAAAAACTGAGACAATTGAGTAACACTTTTTGAGAAAAATAATGTAATTTCAGACCAGAGAGGCGAATCCAAATCGAAATGATTGATGTTTCTGCCTGTGTGTCAAAATCCACAGATTATTTCAAAATCTTAATTGTTTTGTTACCATTCCATATTACCCTTATAGCAAATAATCGCGTGTAAGCCTCATCATTATTAAGTTAAATAAGAATGCGCCTTCCATCTAAAAGTCTAATTTTTCACTTCTAAACTAGGTGCATAAGCTCAAATTCCTTACGATATATATATATATATATATATGTATGTATATATATATATATCTGTGTGTGTGTGTGGGCGCGCATGCGCGCACGCGCAAGCCCTGGCTCATTGGTGGGGGGCTTCGGTGTAAGACCCTTGGGTCGGGGGTTAGAATCTCAGCTCTGACGAGCTGTTCGAATTAGCACATGGTGGGACGTATGGGACTGCAAGTGGGGTCCACCCCTCGGTCAATCTTAGCCCGCATTAATATATATATATATATATATATATATGTGTGTGTGTGTGTGTGTGTGTGTGTGTGTGTGTGTGTGTCTGCTTTTATTTAATAATCTAATAAAATTTTTCATTCGCCCATTATTTTTTATCAACAGCCCTTAACACGCAAGCAGAAGCTTCCCTTCTTGCCCTTCTTTTGGTCTCGACTCGAACCAACAGAACACATGTGCGATTTTCTTCCTTCATCTCCTTCTTTCTCTACATGCGTGCCACAATAAGCAATCGCTTCTCCTTCCTTTGAACACTGAGCCGCTCGCCTCCCCTCTCTTTTACCGCTTGTGGCCAATCGAGTGCAGTAAGTATCGCAAAGCAAGGAAAAACCAGACGCTCCTTCTCATTCAGCTTCTTCCTTCACTCACAGACCAGCCGCAAATTAAGGGCTGGAAGCGACCCCACCAAAATTTTCCCTTATCTGATTTCTTCTGCACTCACTCTCTTTCTGGTCCTCGCTCATTCTATGCAAGCTACAAACGAAAAGAGCACCCCCTCGACTTCTAATAGCAAAGCCACTCCACAGTTATACTTCGATTCGATTTTATTTATTAACTAATAGTATATATATATATATATAAATATATTAGTTATAACAATCTTCCATCGTTACAAAAATTTCGTCCTCAAAATTTGAAAATAATCATGAAAGAAAACATAGCTCAAATGAAAAGCTAGAAATATCTTTTTCGCATACCAGAAGCTTTCTCTTAAGTAGCGTCCTTCTATAATTCATGCTTCCATAAAATCTTCACAAATAAAATATTTCTATTACAAAGCCCCTTAGCATTATAATATAGTATTCTTTCAGGCTCCTTAACATAATTCAAATCAGGCTCCTTAACAAAATCTTCATATCACCCTACTTGATTCATCAACAATATATATTCTAAGTGAAGAAATATGAAAATATTATGCACTCCTTGCATATGAGCCGGTAAAGCCACATTTTTAATCCCCTCGATGATGTCATTTGAACTTATACACATGGGGCTCAATTTTCCTTTCTTTCCAAATCTATGCACACCATTCAAAGGACAAAATTTGATAAAAACAAATTCTCCAACTTGAAACTGTACTGGCCTGCGCTTAGTATCATAATATATTCTTTGTCTATCATGCATTGACATTAGTCTCTCTGATCAGTCTATTCTTTTCAGTAGGATCACCAATGAAGTTAACTCCAGTGACTTTTCTTTCACCTATTTTAGCCCAATATAAAGGTGTCCTGCATTTTCTTTCATATAAAGCTTCATATGGAGTCTTCACAATACTAGCTAGGTAACTGTTATTCTAAGCAAATTATACTAAAGATGTATGTGATTCCCATCATTCATCAATGTCAAGAATGCATAACTTTAGCAAATCCTCCAAATTCTGAATAGTTCTTTTTGATTGGTCATCTATCTCAGGGTCTATTTGAGGGTGAAAGGTTGTGTTGAAGTCAATCTGATGCCCAAAACTTTCTGAACCTTCTTCCATAATCTAGAAGTAAATATGTCATTTCTGTCAGAGATAATAGACATTGGCACTTTGTGCAATCTTATAATTTGATCCACATACAACTTGGCTAACTTCTCAACCAAATATGTTTGTCTAATGAGCAATAAATCGGCAAACTTAATCAATCTATCAACAATTACCCAAATAGCATCAAGACCTTGATGTGATTTAGGCAATCCAATCACAAAGTTCATAGCAATCTTAAGTTGAACAACTGATTTCAAGGATGCTGATGTTCTACCTTCACTAGTTGATATGTAGGATACTTAGCCACAAATTCTGATACACTTCTCATCAATCCTAGCCACCAAAAAGTTTCCTTGAGATCATGGTACATTTTTTTACTCCCTGGATAAATAATAAAGCTAGATAAATGTGCCTCTAGAATTCCTCGTCTTAAATTATCAACATCAGGAACAAAAAATTTGCCTTCAACATGCTCCATAAATATTTCAAAAAGCCATCCAAGTCTAGCACATACTTCTCCAATTTGCCATCTTTAACTTGCTCCAAGATTTTCTGAATATTGTCATTTCTGGCTAATGAATCCTTTCATTCTTCTTTTCAAAGTGTACTGCACACTCAACTAATTTAATTAAACCATAATGTCATCACTATAATTAATTATAGATAGCTTCAACTTCTCCAAATCATTAAGTAACTGCTCCTACCGAGTAATTAAACAGTTCAAATTACTAGAAACCTTCCTACTCAATGTATTTTCCACCACATTTGCATTTCCTGAATGGTATTGAATATCCAAATCATAATCTTAAATAAACTCCAACCACCTTCTTTGCCTTAGATTTAGCTCTCTTTCTGGATAAAGATATATTTCAAACTCGGGTGATCAATAAATACCTCGCTTCGAGCTCCATACAGATAGTGCCTCAATATTTCAAGTGAAGAAACAACTGGTGCATGCTCCAAATCATGTGTGGGATAATTTCTTTTATAATTCTTCAATTGTGTTGAAGCATAGGCAATGACCCTTCTATACTGCATAAGTACACAAACCAAACCTTTAAAAAATGCATCACTGAAAATCTGAAACTCATCTGAATATGAATACACACCACTTGTAAAAGAAATAGGATACAACACTTCATATGTATAAACTAAAGATTACAATCTCCAAACTCACATAGCAACTCGAAACCCTAAACCCTAATTCTAATTAAATAAATATAAAAAATTTAAGGCCCCAAAAGCTAGACAGAAGCAATAGGAAAGAAAATCTCATATTTGGCACGAGATAAGACGGAATGTCTACATCACGTTTACGGAATAGTGAGACTCGCGAAATCCCGCCGCTCCCACGCAGGCGGGATCGCAAGATCACAAATCCCGCACAGGACAGTTCTGCGTTTGCTCATCCTCCTGTAACAGCGCCCGCATCAGTCGGTCTCTCAGAAAGATTTTGGGTCTAATAGCAGCAGGAAATTATTTAACTCCTGATAATATTATATTGAATTAGTTATTAGGAATATACATTCTAAAAAAACTTGAAACTATGAAATTAAAAAGAGTTGGAAAGGCGGAGACACCAAAGAAAGCATTTCTGTTAAAGCCAAATAAAGAGAAGAGTTGGAGCAAAATAAAAGGAGATACTGCAGAAAGAAATAGAGTCAAGACACATTTGAAAAAAAGCAAGTATTTAAAGGAGTGAATTGAGCTTGGAGTTTAAAAGAAACCATCTTCAGTAAAAATTGAATATCATCATCAAAATGAAATATTCAACATGACTGGCTCAAATTTAAGATGATATCATAGCTGTCAAGAAAGCCCCAAGAAGATGCATTGGCATCATTAAAAAATAAAATTATGACAAAAAAAGAAGCTTTTGCTGAAATTTGAGAGAAAAACTGACTCTAGATAAAAGCATGGAAGAAGAAATCAAGAAGTTCTTAAAACATGGGGATAAATTTATTGAAATAGAAGACAATTATAGAGACAAGTGATAATGTAAAGAGTTAGGGGAGTTTGTTTATTCCATTGAAGTCACTATGGCATATCCGCTGAATTAATGCTTGCTCTTGTGCACTCTAGCGATATTGTTCACAAGTACAACAAGCCAATCGAATATGGAGAGTTTAAAGCTTGTTTATATGTGTGTTTGTTTTTTTTTTATTTTATTTTTTGTTTAATTTTCTTATTTTTTAAATTTTTAATGACAATATGACGCTCATTTATGCTGTAGCAACAGCGTTCCATAGCAAAAGAAACAATTAAAATTGCTTTAACGCCAGATTGCTTTTGGTTTAAGTTTTTCTCTTTTGTAAAATAGGATGAATATCATATCGGATCCAGAATTACTGTTATTGTAAAAGATGTTAATTTATCTTATTGCTTATCATCTTCAATAACTAGATGAAAGAATGAGAATTTGTTATGGATTTGCTACCACCAAAGTTTAAAATTGATGTTTGTTCAGCTCTCCTCATCTTAACATCGTTTTGGCAAGGAAAACTGAGAGAGAATCTCCCTTAAGCATATTTGTGGTCCAATGTTGAAAAAACTACTGAAAATACATTTCTAAGCCAAAGGAAATCAATCTGGTGTACATTATGGCAGTTTCCATGCAGACATCAACTAAACAAAGTCCAATAATAAAATTTTCCTGGCTTTCATCCATGAATAAATATAATATAACTCATTGAAAAAGCAATGAACTGACCTTTTCCCAAATTTCGGAATGATAATCATTATACCATTTGGTCTCCACTAAAGATAACAATGAGCAATCAACTAGCTTACTCTGATATAGGGAACAAAAATGGTTACCAATTAAACTAAGAAATATAACCAATAAATTTCGTAAAATAATGTCACACAAAATACTGAATAAACAAAGACAGCGAAGATAAGAAGATAGATAACACATTATTTAATACCGATAATTTATATTAAGAAAGAAAATTCACTCGTAGGCACCACAAGCATCGATTTCCTTGGCACTAATGCTGCTGAACTCTATCGCTTTACAATGGTATAAAAGTTAAATGCAAAATTTTTCATTCTCTAAGACAGGATCAAAGGTTCTTTGGTAAAATAGAATGCTCCATAATTTCATTTATATGGCTAAAGTTTTATCACAAAAAACAGGAACCGAGCCTTCCAAATTATATTTCATACATGATGCCAAATCAGACAATATTACATAAATGGATCTTAAATTTGCAGTGGACGGCCATCCCAATGAAAACAAATAAGTAGTTTTCTGAGACATACATAATTGATGGCACGAAGAAACTAATATTTATGTTAAAGAAACTAACATTTTGTTCAAATGAAAGCGTGAATTTCACCCATTTACATAAAAAGAACTGCAACAATAATCAATAAAAAAAACATTCCATGAAGCACTAGCTAATTCCAGTGTCAAACCAAATTATTATTTGTATATTAAAGTCATCTTATTATACTCTGGAATTTGCATCCAAGCCTATAGAATTTATAATGAAGACAATCCATGCTCTGCAACATCGTTGAATCAGTAGAAAACATATTACTTAGGCTAATTTTATATGGATGTTTTGTAAACATGCCTTAAAGTAATTCATTCTGTTCCTCAACAAATGTTAATCAAATCCAGAACTAATTTCATGGCTTAATTAGGAAACAAGATAAACTTAGGCTTCATTTGGGATCACTTTTTTACTTTTATTTTTATTTCCAAAAAAATAGTTAAGAAGATAGAAAATATGTTTATTTTTAATCTTTAATTTTTCAAGTTCTAATAAAAAATGACTTACAACAACAACAACAAAGCCTTAATACCACTGCGTGGGGTCGGCTACATGAATCCTATTTCTACATGGCATCCTATTTAGTTTCATATTTTCATTTAGTTCTAAGAAATTAAGATCATTTTTTAAACAATAAATACGCTTAAGTCTTCCTAGGTCTACCTCTGGCTTTACATAAGTCGAATCTAAAACATCTACTCTCCTAATCAGATTATCAGATGGGTGTTGACCTCACTTTTGGTTGAGGTCTAGAAATTTCTTTAGTAGCCTAGGTCTAGCCATAGAACTTTCCTACTTACTTGTCTTAGAAAACTAGAAAAGGTATCCTCACCATTAGAAACTCAAAACTCTTCTCTTTACTCAACTTGAAGTTCCACATATTGGTCATAACCTCTAGCACTTAGTAGGTAAGATCATTATGGGGGAGCTCAAGAAGAGTTCCTATAGGGCTACTTGGCCTTAGGATTAACCTAGGTGTTGGTTTGGAGCTAAGGTAAACAATACCCTCACAATACCCTGGCTAAGACCAATATATGGGGACCCAAAATGGAGATTTCATTGGTCCATGACTCATTCAAAATGATTCTCTACCCAATTGCACTTGAAATGCCCAACTTAGGCTTTTGCCCCTAGGCACCTCCAAATTACTTACTGCCATTGAAACCTAAATTTGGCCAAAATTCCCAAATTTTGCCAAAATACCCAAAACTGATCAAAAAGTCATTCCAAACACTTGACAAAAATTTCCAAAAAATGGCCAAATTACCAAAATGCCCCTCCATGGTCTAAAAATCCAAAAATTCCAAAAATTCCCAAAAAATCCTAATAAATCCAAAATATTCCCAATTTCATTTTGTCCAACTACACCATGGTCCAATTTGGTCAATTTGACCATCTTTGACAAAAACCCCAAATTAGCCCCAATATTGGCTAACACTCCAAATCTCAACAATTGAATGACCTGAATCTCAAATTGGCATCTAATTTTTGTTGAAAATCCTTTGTGAGGTCATTTGTGACCAAACACAACAATCAATTTGAGTTTAGTCCAAAGCTAGCTCAAGTTTGACCCAAATTAACCCCATATGCCTAATTTGGGTCTAAATCCAAATTTCATCAAAATCCATTAAATTCACTACCAAATTAATTTCAAAATGACTTTCATCCTTCATGAAAGTTGTTCATCATGATGTTTTACACTAGACATAACAATCAATTTGGACTTAGCCATCCCCAAAGCTAGCCCAAGTGCTAGCCCAAGTTTGACCCAAATTTAGCCATACATGCTTAATTTATGTCTAAAACCAAAACCCATTAAAATCCATCCAAATTGACCATCAAATCAACTTCAAAACAATTTTCATCCTTCATGAAAATTGTTCATTATGACATTTTACATTAAATACAACAATCAATTTGGACTTAGCCCAAAGCTAGCCCAAGTTTGACCCAAACTTAGCCCAACATGCTAAAATGGGTCAAAAATCACAAAATCCACCAAATTGATTAATTAATTGACCTCAAAATGACTTTCACCCTTCATGAAAGTTGTTCCTCATGGTCTCTTACACCAAATGTCATATTTAATTGGATCAATTGACATGCCTAACATAGTTCAAACACAAGATTTGGTCATATGCACCTTCTTGGACTTATGGCCAAATCCAAACCAATTGAGCTTGGTATGGTCAAATGAGCCCTAGAGTTGAGTTTAAAACCAGTCACCAACCCATGGTTAAGCTTGATATTTACCTCATGTGTAAAAATATTTTTTTTTAATTTAATTTTAAAAGGAATAAAGAGAGGATTAAATCAAAGTACTTGTCATACCATATGTCAATACTCTATGGTGTCATTTTTACTGCTCATTATAAGCTTTAACCATGACCCAACCTTTGGTTAACCACTTTAACCCAAACCACTTTAACCCAAGGTGAGCCCTCACACGGACAATACCCAAATTCATGTCAAGAAGCCACCTCAGCTCAAATTGAGCTGAGGACCCCTCTGCTTGACACCTGAGCTGGAGCTCCTCTGCTTAACACCTAAGCAGTGGGGCTAACCCCTCAATTGGCCAACCAAGTTTCCCCTTGGCCAATTTCTATAAAAAAACCCCCCACGACCATGAATAGTATGGTAAGAAAATTTTTCACCAAGGCCTCTCAAACTCCTCAGAGAGCTTCTTTAAGAGTCGCTTAACACATTACAATTCATTTCCCTCTCCCAATTCCACCACAAAAATCCAATTTTAAGTTTGAATTCCTGCCCGAAACCAGGATAGAACC